TTGTTCAGGCAAAGCTTCTCGACTGAGGATCCCTCACTTCTGGTGGAGCTACAGACGATGCTCCATGATTGAAAAGGGTAACTGGCTGGGAACACTTCCTCGGTCAGGCCACAGGCTGAGTTCAGCATCAGACAGGATCATAGGCTGTACTCCACTGCTGGGTGGGGCTACAGGCTGGACTCTGTGGCTTGGTGTTACTGTAGGTTGGGCTCCAAGCCTTCCCAGGGTAACTCTTCAGGCTACCTGGATAAACAGGGCCAGAGTGTATGCTCAACGGCTGGCTTCTTGGACAGATAAAACTGGAGACTATGCTCAGCACTTTATACATGGCTGTAAATTTGCTTCCCTGTCCAGGCAGGGCAGTAAAATAGGCTCCGTGGCTAATGTAGCCTGTTGACTAGAGAACCAAACCAGGCAGAACTGCCAGTCGAACTCTCTGGACAGATGGGGCCAGCAATTTGGCTCTGAAGATGGTCAGAAACACTGGCTGGGCTCTCTACCTGGGTATTGCTTACAAGTAGGAATGTAGTCTGTCAAGATCTGAGGGCTGGTTGGTATAAGTCCCATCCCCATTCTCCATCTCTATCTGATCCCCCCCGCACCACACACAGCTTACCCCAGTGATCGCTATAAGGTGACACCTGAGTGGGCCTTCTGGGAAGTATCCCACAATGCTGGGGGAGCTAGATGTCCACTGAGAGTTCTCTTCTTCCACTAGAGAAACTGTAGGCCCACAGGGGCCCTCTCAGTGCAGTGCTATGCTAATCTGGGGAAGGACAATATGGTCAGACCACAGCTGTTTTCTTACCCTTCTAATGTGGTCCTTCTTGGTCTCTGTGGACTAGGAGTGTGTATTAACATCATCCCTAGTCTGGGATTTTCACGGTGGTGTGTTCTCTACAGATAGTGGCTAGGGAGACTGAAGTTGGGAACAACTTATGTCAGCCAGCTTGATTGGTAGACTTTTCTGTACTAGTTTCTGGTCTTTCTGTTTGTGCCTTGAACCCTTTAACACCAGTTTATGGATACTTTTCTCACAATAAAATAAAACACAGAGGAATATAAAAGAAACAGATTATATTAAAATAGTTAATATATTTAAAAACTAAATTGTGACATAATAATAGATATGCATCTTGATTAAAGCATTACAAAATAAGATCTAGTGGTAGCTTTAATAACTAGTGAAATCTTGAAGTATTAATGACTTTAAATAATATTTCAAGATACCTGCCTCAAATTTAATGTGATATGAAAGTATTTATTATTTCTATTAGTGGAAAGTTAGAGGTGCTATTAATACTACTTTGGTCTGTTACCTACATTGTTAATCAAAGGAAATATTAAATGATAGGTTAAAGTTTATAAACTAAAGATATAGTATTTTTCATATCTAAGTTCAGAAGCCCCTGAATTGTCTCTATTAATTCCCAAAGCGGGGCTTTGAACCCCTCGTTAAAAACCTCTGCTCAATACGTATCTTTGTAAATTATGCTGCAGTTATATTTCCTTCTATGTTAATCATCCTTTTTTTCTATACATGTTTTGTGAACATGACCATAATCTCCCTAGCAACACAATTTCCTCAGCATTTAAGAATCATTTACATGCATTAATGTTCTAAAGTAAAACACACTTTTATTTTTCCCTTAACATTGAAATCAATTTTTTGCAAATGCTAGTTTCATTTGTCAATGTTCTATATGTAAGTAGGCCTACAAATAATTGATTTTTACCCCTGATATCCTGAAAATATTGGTTTAGATTTTTTTCTCAGTAGATCAAATTTAAATTATACTGATACAAACTTTCAAAGCTGAAATAATAACTCTAAGAATCAACTAAATTTAGCTCACATTATTTGGCACTAACTCATAATTATATATATTAGAAGCTCCTCAACAAGCTCAGAATATGGTATACTTTTTAAAATGTTTCCATGTGTTCCTGTATTTTAGGACATCTCAACATCTTCCACACAATGAAGTCAGTTTCTAGCTTAAATTTATATATTTTGAAATAAGGAAAACATTAGTATTTTTCTTAATAACCTGAAAATTTGGGCTCGTTCTGTATTGATTAAATTATATATATATAGTATTTTTAAAATAAGATATTCATCCTGCTAAATAACTAAAATATATTAGTCATCTGGTTGGAAAAAGCGTATTGACCTTTCTGGAGAGATAATACTAGTGTTAACTCTGGGAGGCAGTGTGTCCTTAATTGTTTTTTATTGTTTTTGTTGTTATGAGGAAACAAACATCTCCTTTGAGCAATATACTATGATTATGCATGGATGGAATTTAGCATTGTAATCAAATAGAACATACAACAAAGTTAATCTGATGAAACATATTTAATGCTAATGCATTATCAATGTGCTACATGGTAATTACACATAAACTGTAAATAGCTCCTGTGAATGGCAAATTGATGTTACTTTTACATCACTGAAGCAAATGTTTCTGGGATGGGAGGGAGAAAAAAGCAGTAGTGATTTTAATCTTTTCTCTTGCCTGAGGAAAGCAGTCACCTTTGTGTTCTGGAAAATTGAGTAATTGTTTCAATCCAGGACCTTCCTCCTTAACAAAAGATACTCAGATGTTTGATAAATAAACATACTACTAACTTCAATAACTCACACTGAGTTACATATCATCTGTGCTTATTATACCCAAGTGGCACAATCCCAATCACACATACTATTAAATTACATCTTAAGTTGTTTTCTCCTACAAGCAGAACTAAAGAAATGATTTTTGATTGAGCAAGGTAAGGAATGAGAGGAAATTTCAGAGTATCTGGCACTGAGAAGAAAAGCAATCTGGCTTGAAAAAAGTCATCAGTGGTATGCTTTCAACAAAAAGAAGGCACTAAATCTGTGGGGCAAAAGATGCAAGGGGTAAAACACATGAATATGTGAAAAAAAAAGGAACAGATAAAGGCTTAGAAAAGTGAATGGAAGTCTAGAAAAAAGGAAGAGATGACACAAGCCCAGGTCAACCCATTCACAGCAAACAGGAATTACATGGACACATCTGGTATAACATGCACTAAAGGAGCCTGGCAGGATCTACACTTTATGATTCTCCATCACTCATCTTCCCAGAGTGTAGGCCAAGATTTAGCATACTACTGTGATTTCAAAAGCAGTTGTTTTCACTGCATAGTGGATAAAATTAAACCAGCAAATTCAAGAATTGAGACATAATTTATCGCCATCTCCAAATTGAAAGCAATCCGTTCTTCCAAACTGAACCAGGCTTACCCAATTTAAAGAGAAACAAATAGGTATTGTTTATGTTACAAAATAAAGTGAAACATAAAAAAGTCCCACATAATAAATTTCTATATATATATTTTAAAAGCTTGTTGTGTACTAGAGGGACATTCACAAGTGAGAATCTTTCTCTGGTTCTTATATTCCCTAAAGAGTTGAAAACATTACTTAAAAAATAATCAATGTTTTGAATATTATTGGCAAATAAAGACCACATTCTAAATAATTACATTCTTCTTTATTTACCAAAGTATGTGAAGGAAAAGCTACATAGTTTTAAAGGGTAAAATAAATAGCTAAATTGATTAATTCTTCAAAATATGGTTCTATTTTACTATAATTGTAGAGAAAAGACTAACAAGTTTTGGAGTCAGAAATTTCTTTGTCTCATTGTACGTTAAAATTAAACTGTCCAAGTGAAAAAAAGAGGGAAAAGTAAATCATGTTTAGGCTTCATTCCTCACTCATTCTATTTGTGCAAAGAATCATGGGACTTAGACGGACAGGATAAATGTGATCAGCTCTCCATTTCTACTCAGAGAAATATGCACTTGCTAGTTGCACACTTTTTTTAACTTTTCCACAGGGGGATTTATCAAAGTGTAACTATTACTGAGATTAACGTAAGTATGTCATGATAATAAAGAGCCTACATAAACTCATTAAACCTTAGCCTTAGAAAATAAATTTCTATTTACCTATATTTATATTATAATATCTATATTTAAAACATTTACATGAGGTAATCTGTAATGCAAGCTTACATTACAAAATGGAGGAACTTCCATATAGACATAGCCTGCTCAAATGACAGAACTGGTTCTCTGAAATTTAGAGACACTCTGAGGGCAGTATGATAAAACTCTCACAGCATAAATTACTGAGTCTTTTTAAAATCAAAGCAAGCTTTATGGGTTAAAAACATAAAAAGAAAAACCTACAATGACTATGCCCTTATAGGTAAAATCTTCACAGCTCTTCCTTCCAGAAATTAAATTAGACAGGACCAGACATACCAAGAACTGTAATAATATGTTAGATCTTGTATAGTACTTTATTCTACAGAGCACATTATTTGGTTTAATACATCTGTATTCTCTGATGTGGAAAGAGATTTAGCAAGCTAAAATAAGTGGCTCATGGAAGGCAGAATAATAGAACAGAAAGAACATAGATTTAGAACTATGAAAGATCTTGTTCTGAATCCCAGCTCTGCTAATCTGCCACTTACCATCTATGTGACATTGGGCAATCTCTTTAAGCCTCAGTTTTCTGTAACATGAGGACAATAGTATGTACCTCATAGGATTGTTAATAGAATTCAATGAGATAAAATATATAAAGTGCCTGATACAATTCCTAGCACATGTTATGTGTCTAACAAAAAATAACTTTAACATTTACCAATTGATTGTGAGCAAGGTATTTAACATTTTGACCTCCCCACTATTACATCCATAAAACTGTAATAACAACATTTACTTAACAGAGTTGTTGTGATGATGAAATACATGCAATTTTATGTACAGTGAATGATAGGCAGAAACAAAACTAGAAGGTAGCCTTCTATGTTGAATACTCTTACTGGTAACAAAGCTAGATACTTGTGATTCTATTACCAAAATATAGAAGAACATTTTCCCACAACTCCATTGAGAAAATAACAATCTAGAAATACCTGTGAAAATGAATTTTAAAAGGAAAATATGCAAGTTACCTGAATTAAGGCTTCACTCAGCATGTCTTCATTAACCTCCAGAATAATATTTTTTATATCTTCATATGGCATACGATATGATCCTAGGAAGATAGCTTAAAATAAAAGTAGATTTTATTAAAAATAGAATAGCATCAAAATTTTAAAGGCCTAATAAATACCTTATTCTCATTTTCATAGACATAAAATATGAAATTTGTCAGCAATATTAATTTACAGTTAGGAACAAACAAAAGTAGTTTCCATCTGAGAGACTACACTACTCATCTAGGCAAAATGGCCTATTATTTCAGGTTCTAATGATTACATGTTGTACATACTTATATAGAAATTAAAACCCCTAATAATGCTGATGATTACATGCTTATGCATTTTAGATCAAGCTGACACAATGTGACTCATGAGAGATTTTATTTCAAGTTGGCCTTTAATTCAGCATTGAATTTAATACGGCTATTGTCAGATTCATTAAACACAGTACTTCTCAGAGATGACAATAAAGTAACCAAATACAAAAAAAATCATTCAATCTACTTTGCAATTCTCCCACATAGGAAAAAATTAAAGTGTTTGAATCATCAGTGTTATCTAAATTCCTGCTGAAAATCATGTGGTATACTAGGAGTAGCTATATATTTTCACAATTTCCCTTCTCAACTTTTTCTTTATTGGATATATATTATGTCATACTGAAATAAATCAACAGATTACACTGAGAAAAGCTTAAACTAATTCAGAAAGTATTTTTCAACAACACATTCCACTTCAACTTCCACTAAGCACACATTTTAATGAACATTCATGTGTTATCACCAGAACATGAATATATTCTTATGATTTTTTTCATGTAAAGGTCTGTATTTCACTGGCGCCTAAAGGAAAGACAAATCCTCACTATCTAGGCAAATGATTACCTAGACATAAACACCAAGTGAGATCTCCATAATCTAAATAAATAATGTTTGACAGATATCAACTAACAATTAAGATCATACTGTGTTTTTTCTTAATTACTGAGCATTCACTTTATAAAGAAAATGTACTCTCAGTTAAGCAATGTACACATTCACAACTATTAGGAGACTTCTTTTCTGACAGCAACATTCCAACTCACAGGAGAATGATGACTTTTTTATTTTAATCTGATTCCCTACTGTACATCCCTTAACAAAATAAACTCCCATGGTATTTCCTTGTATAATTAGAAATGCTTGATGTGTTGTAATTTCTCAAGCATAGTGTTTGAGTATCCTCAGAATATAAACATATGTCTACTGTGGTAAAAAAAAAAAAAATGCTGAATTTAATACAGAGGGGAGAATACATCAAAGTAAAATGTAAGGCCTAGTTAAATGAAGATGGGTTTAACTGTCCAGAGGCTTTAGCAAAAGTGTATTTAATGGCTGACTGATTTGTTGAAGGCTTCAAGGCTCACTAAACAGGTTTTTATTTTTATTTAAATTTAGTTAACATAAAGTACAATATTGGTTTCAGGACCAGAATTCAATGATTCATCACTTACATATAACACTCCGTGCTCATCACAATGAGTGCCCTCTTTAATCCCATCACCCATATAGCCCATCCCCCACCCTCCTCCCTCCATCAACCCTCAGGTTGTTCTCTATCATTAAGTCTCTTACGGTTTGTTTCCCTCTCTCTTTTTTCTTTTCCCCATTCCCACATGTTCACCTGTTTTCTTTCTTAAATTTCTCTGACTTTTTCACTTAGCATAATACATATAAGCTGCATTCAACTCATTGCAAATGGTAACATTTCATTCTTTTTGATGGCTGAGTAATATCCCATTGCATATATATATACATATATATGTATATATATATATATATACCAAATCTTCTTTATCCATTCATCAGTCAACAGACATTTCGGCTCTCTCCTTAGTCTGGCTATTGTTGATAATGTTGCTACAAATACCAAGGTGCATATAATCCTTTGAATGTATATTTTTGTATCCTTTGGGTAAATACCAGTAGTGCAATGGCTGGATCTTGGAGTAATTCTATTTTTAATGTTTTGAGGAACCTCCAAACTGTTCTCCAGAGTAACTGCACCAGTTTGCATTCCTACCCAAAGTGCAAGAGGACTCCCATTTCTCCACATCCTCACCAAAACCTGTTGTTTCTTGTGTTAATTTTAGCCATTCTGCAAGTATGACATGGTGTCTCATTGGGGTTTTGATTAGTATTTCCCTGATGATGAGTGACGTTGAGCATTTTTTCATGTGTTTGTTAGGATCTGGATGACTTCTTTGGAAAAGTGTCTATTTGTGTCTTCTATCCATTTTTTTAAAAGATTTTTATTTATTTACTTGGGGGTGGGTAGAAAGAGACAGAGACAAAGTGACAGAGAAAGAAGAGAGGCAGACGGAGACAGACAATCTCAAGCAGACTCCAACTGTAGCAGGAAGCCCAAATCAAAGTTCAATCTCACAAACCTGAAATCATGACCTGAGCCCAAATGAAGGGTCAGAAGCTTAACTGACTGAGCCACCCAGGCACACCTTCTTCTGCCCATTTCTTAACTGGATTATTTGTTTTTTGGGTGTTGAGTTTGAAAAGTTCTTTATAGATTTTAGATGCCAACTCTTTATCAGATATGTCGTTTGCATATATTTTCTCCCATTGCAGAGGCTACCTTTTTGTTTTGTTGATTGTTTCCTTTGCTGTGCAAAAAAAACTTAATGGAGCCCCTATAGTTTATTTTTGCTCTTGCTTCCCTTGTGTCCAGAGACGTGTCCAGTAATAAGTTGCTATGGTCAAGGCCAAAGAGGTTTCTGCCTGTGTTCTTCTCAAGGATTTTGATGGTTTCCTGTCTCACATTTAGGTCTTTCATTGATTTTGAATTTAATTTTGTATATGGTGTACAAAAGTGGTCCACTTTCATTCTTCTCCATGTTGCTGTTCAGTTTTCCTGACACCGTTTTCTGAAGAAACTGTCTTTTCTCCACTGGATATTTGTTCCTGCTTTCTCAAAGATGAGGTGACCATATACTTGTGGGTCCATTTCTGTGTTTTCTATTACAGTCCATTGATCTATGTGTGTATTTTTGTGCCAGTACCATACTGCCTGGATCACTACATCTTTGTTACGTAACTTGACATCTGGAATCGTGTTGCCTCCAGTTTTGTTTTTCTTTTTCAAAATTGCATTGCCTATTTGGGGTCCTTTGTAATTCCATACAAATTTTAGGATTGTTTGTGAAAAATGATAGTAGTATTTCGATAGGGATTGCATTAAGTGTGTAGATTTCTTTGAATAGTATACACATTTTTTTAAAGATTTTATTTATTTATTTGACAGAGAGAGATAAAGCGAGAGAGGGAACACAAGCAGGGGAGCGGGAGAGGGAGAAGCAGGCTCCCCGCTGAGCAGGGAGCCCTATACGGGGCTCAATACCAGGACCCTGGGATCATGACCTGAGCTGAAGGCAGACGCTTAATGACTGAGCCACCCAGGCGCCCCTGGATAGTATATACATTTAAACAGTGTTTGTTTTTCCAATCCATGAGCATAGAATGCTTTTCCATTTCTTTGTGTCCTCTTCAATTTCTTTCATAACTATTCTATAGTTTTCAGAGTACAGATCTTTTATTTCTTTAGTTTATTCCTAGGTATCATGGTTTTCAGTGCAATTGCAAATAGGATCGATTCCTTAATTACTTTTTCTGCTGCTTTGCTATTGGTGTATAGGAATGCAGCAGATTTCTGCAAGTTCATTTTATATCCTGCAACTTTGCTGAATTCATCTATTACTTCTAGCAAGTTTTGGTGGGGTCTTTCGAGTTTTCTACATAAAGTATCATGTCTGCAAATAGTGAAAGTTTGACTTCTTCCTTGCCAATTTTGATGCCTTTTATTTCTTTCTGTTGTCTGATTGCTGAGGCTAAGACTTCCAGTATTATGTTAAACAGTAATGGTGAGAGTAGACATCCTTGTCTTGTTCCTGATCATAAAGGAAAAGCTCTGTTTTTCCCCATTGAGGATGATATTACCTGTGAGTCTTTTGTATATGGCCTTCATGATGTTGAGGCATTTTCCACCTGTTTCTACTTTGTTGAGGGTTTTTATCAAGAAAGGACGGTGCATTTTGTCAAATGCTTTTTCTGCATCTATTGAGAGGATCAGTGGTCCATATCCTTTCTTTCATTACTGTGGTGTATCACATTGATTAATTTACAAATATTGAAACACCCCTGCAGCCTAGTAATAAATCCCACTTGATCATGTTGAATAATTCTTTTAATGTACTGTTGAATTAAATTAGCTAGTATTTTTTTGCCCTCTTTTTTTATTGTTATGTTAATCACCATATAGTACATCATTAGTTTTTGAGTAGTGTTCCATGATTCATTGTTTGTTCATAACACCCAGTGCTCCATGCAGAATGTGCCCTCTTTAATACCCATCACCAGGCTAACCCATCCCCCTACCCTCCTCCCCTCTAGAACCCTCAGTTTGTTTTTCAGAGTCCATCATCTCTCATGGTTCGTCTCCCCCTGACTTACTCCCCTTCATTCTTCCTCTCCTGCTATCTTCTTCTTTTTCTTTTTTCTTAAAATATGTTGCGTTATTTGTTTCAGAAGCACAGATCTGTGATTCAACAGTCTTGCACAATTCACAGCGCTCACCGTAGCACATACCCTCCCCAATGTCTATCACCCAGCCACCCCATCCCTCCCACCCCCAACCACTCCAGTAACACTCAGTTTGTTTCCTGAGATTAAGAATTCCTCATATCAGTGAGGTCATATGATATACGTCTTTCTCTGATTGACTTATTTCACTAAGCATAACCCTCCAGTTCCATCCACGTCATTGCAAATGGCAAGATCTCATTCCTTTTGATGGCTGCATAATATTCCATTGTGTATATATACCACATCTTCTTTATCCATTCATCTGTCGATGGACATCTTGGCTCTTTCCACAGTTTGGCTATTGTGGACATTGCTGCTATAAACATTGGGGTGCACATACCCCTAAATTAGCTAGTATTTTATTGAGAATTTTTGCATCCATGTTCATCAGGGATATTGGTCTGTAGTTCTCTTTCTTAGTAGGGTCTCTGTCTGGTCTTGGAATCAAGGTAATGCTGATTTTATAGAATGAATTTGGAAGTTTTCCTTCCATTTCTTTTTTTTAAACAGTTTAAGAACAGTATTAACTCTTCTTTAAACGTCTGGCAGAATTCCCCTGGGAAGCCATCTGGCCCAGGACTCTAGTTTGTTGGGAGATTTTTGATTACTGATTCAATTTCATTGCTAGTTATGGGTCTGTTCAAATTTTCTATTTCTTCCTGTTTCAGTTTTGATAGTTTATAAATTTCTATGAATTTCTTCATTTCTTCCAGATTGTCCAGTTTGTTGGCATATAATTTTTCATAGTATTGCCTTATAATTGTTTGTATTTCTGTGGTGTTGGCTCTGATCTATCTTCTTTCATTTGTTATTTTCTCGATTTGGTTCCTTTCTCTCTGTCTCTCTCTCTCTTTTTTTATTTTTTGGGTCTTTCAAAGAAGCAGCTCTTAGTATTGTTGATCTGTTCTAACAATTTTTTGTTGTTGTTTCTATATCACTGATTTCTCCTATAATCTTTATTATTTCTCCTCTTCTGCTGGATTTAGGCTTTATTTCCTGTTCCTATTTTAGCTGCTTTAGGTATAAGGTTGGTTGTGTATTTGAGACTTTTCTTGTTTCTTGAGGTAGGCCTGTATTTCAATATACTTCCTTCTTAGGACTACCTTTGCTGCATCCGAAAGGTTTTGGAGTGTCATGTTTTCTTTTTCATTTGTTTCCATGTAATTTTTTTTTATTTTTTCTTTAATTTCCTTGTTAACCCATTCATATTTTAGTAGGATGTTCTTTAACCTCCATGTATTTGTGGTCTTTCCAAAATTTCTCTTGTGATTGACTTCAGGTTTCACAGTGTTGTGGTCTGAAAATATGCATGGTATGATCTTGAACTTTTTGTACTTCTTGCAGCCTGATTTGTGACCCAGGATGTAATCTATTCTGGAGATTGTTCCATGTAGACTCAAAAAGAATGTGTGTTCTGCTACTTTATGATGAAATGTTAAGAATATATCTGTGAAGTCCATCTGGTCCACTGTGTCATTGAAAGACATTGTTTCCTTGTTGATTTTCTGCTTAGATGATTTGTCTATTGCTCTAAGTAGGGTGTTGAAGTTACCCAATATTATTGTATTATTATCAATGAGTTTCTTTATCTTTATTATTGATTGATTTATATATTTGGGATCTTCTAATTTGGGGGCGTAAATATTTACAATTGTTAGATCTTCTTGATGAATAGAACCCTTTTTGATGATATAATGCCCTTCTTCATCTCTTGTTACAGTCTTTGCTTAAATATCTAGTTTCTCTGATATGTTTATGGCTACTCCAGCTTTCTTTTGACATCCATTAGCATGATAGATGCTTGTCCATCCCTTCACTTTCAATCTGCAAGTGTGTTTAAGTCTAAAATGAGTCCCTTGGAGGGAGCATATAGATAGATCTTGCTTTTTTTAATCCATTCTGATATGCTATGTCTTTGATTCGGGCATTTAGTCCATTTACATTCAGAGTGATTCATATCTTTAAGTAAAGATAGGAAATTAGTACCATTGTGTTACCTGTAGAGTTGGTATTTCTGGGGATGTTTTCTGTTCCTTTCTAGTCTTTGCTGCTTTTGGTTTTTTTCTTCTCCATTCAAAGATCCCTCCTTAAAATTTCTTGCAGGGCTGGTTTAGTGGCCATGAACTCAAGTTTTTGTTTGTCTGGGAAACTCTTTTATCTCTCCTGTTCTGAATGACAGCTTTGCTGGATAAAGAATTCCTGGTTGCATATTTTTCCCATGCATCATGTTGAATATATCCTGCCACTCTCTTGTGGCCTGCCAAGTTTCTGTGGACAGACCTGCTGCAAATGTGATCTGTTTTCCCTGTAGTTTAAGGACTTTTTTTCCTTTGCTGCTTTCAGGATTCTTTCCTTGTCTGTATTTTGTGAATTTGACTATGATATGCCTTGGCAATGGTGAGCTTTTGTTAGATTTAACAGGAGGTCTTTTTGCTTTGGATTTTGATTTCTGTATCTCCTAGATTAGGGAAGTTTTCAGTTATAATTGAAACAAATAAACCTTCTGCCCCCTTTTCTCTTCCTGCATGTTCTGGGATTCCTTCCAAAAGGTGGTAGCTTTTCTAATTGTTGACTTGCAGTTTTTGTCCTCTCAGACCTCTGAATATTTTCTTGAGCATTCAGAATGATTTGATAACTACTTAGCTGTGTTCAAGAGCTGTGACAAGCTTTGGGTTCCCCAACTCCTTTGCCATCTTAATTCCTCCCCCCGGTTCACTACCAGTAGTTAAGTGCAGTGGTTAACAATATAACTCTCTAACATCAAAATTACTTCAACTATAAAGGCATAGCAATAAAAGGATTTGCCCAGGGCGCCTGGGTGGCTCAGTTGGTTAAGCGACTGCCTTCGGCTCAGGTCATGATCCTGGAGTCCCGGGATCGAGTCCCACATCGGGCTCCCTGCTCGGCGGGGAGTCTGCTTCTCCCTCTGACCCTCTTCCCTCTCGTGCTCTCTGTCTCTCTCTCTCTCTCTCAAATAAATAAATAAAATCTTTAAAAAAAAAAAAAAAAGGATTTGCCCAATGTGACCAGTCAATAGTCCAAAACTACCACACCTAGGTCTAGGCAGAAAGGGGAAACATAACACTCTTTTGAACTCTTTGAGTGAACCTTATGTCTTACTCTGTAACAGTGCTTAATTATCAGTATTTTCCAAAGCTTTATTATTCATAAGTTTCATCTGGCCTGAGGAAGACGAAATTATGATGGTCTGAATGACAAAAAGGCAACTCAAATCACATTTACACACAATTTTGTTTCTAGCAGATGCTAAATATACCTGTGCAAATCAGTTACAACTTTGTGTAAAAATACTCAACAACTCCTCATCACCACCATCACCACCACCCCTTACACAAAAAACATCACATACACAGATTCTGGGCCGTTTTGGGATCCAAAATTCTCAATTCTTTCACTTTCTTCTTTGCAGGGAGGATCTTCTTTTCTTCTGAAGCTTCTACATTCTTTTGAACTAAAGGAAAAAAGTTTATTCATAAACAATAATGGTACTAATCCAATCACATGAAATAAATTAGTAAGGCATATTAACTACATTAACAAAGCTTATGCCAAAAATCAATAACATGTTTATTTCATTAGTTCAAGGAAGAGGATAAACATAATAATATAGACCCATTCAGAGGTTTCCCTACAACTTAAAGATCAGCACTTAAGCAGAAAAGATAAGCCAAATAGTACCAAAAATCAATTTCAGCTTCTAACCTAATGTGCAACATTCATTACTCCTTTACCAGGTACCTACAGCAGCACTGGAATTAAATACATAGTAAAATCTCCCTAATTTGGACTAATTGAGGAAAAAAGCAGATATGCACTTATCCTAAAATATGCTACAATTTAGACATGCCTTTAATTCAGTGGAACTGCTTTAAAGTATGTAACTTTAACTACTAAACGGGTTGTCATATAAAAATCCCTGCTAAGATTGCTTTGAAGAATAAATACGAACCATCTGCAAGTTGCACAACAGCAACATTTGCATACACATAATTAATTAACCTCAAAGACTGGGTCTTTTGAGTAAGTTATCTTTGTCTCCATGACAGTTTTTAGTACTATTTGCCCTCTTAGAAGAAAATATTTAATTATGCTCTATTCAGAAGGTAATCCTCTAGACCTGAACAGTTCAAATAACCTGAAACTGTGAGAAGTAGCAGTGGCTTTAGCCCCCCATAACCTCCATCAGCTCTACCTCAGAGAACCCATCTCAAAAACCAAAGTAAAAAACAATGTGGCTATCTGTTGTGAAAATGAAGCTTTATGGCAAATCCCTAAACCCACCTATACAAAAATTCCACAGCTACCATTGTACTCAGGTGTTGGCAGTTTACTTCTTCTAATATAAAAATAGGGTTGTAGGTAATGGGACCATTAAAAAATATGAGAAAACTAAAGCCAACATTTTTTTTCATTCAAGTAGTGATATGCTTTTATCCCCAAACTCATGCTGCTAAACTTCATCATTGAATCATATGACCATAATAATATGCTTATTACTTTTAAAAATTTAATTTCATTTTGAGGAAATCATGATTTTTATTATTTTAACTTACCTGATTTTTGTTAAAGAGATCATAAATGAGTTACTGATTTTCTTTAGAGGAAAACCAACACACTACTACAGTACATTTTTGCTAAGCTATGTGTTCACAGATGTTAGCATCTGGAAAACTTTCCATACATGTTATAGAATACATCAAATACTGCAAGCCCATTAAGATCCCCCTCTGTTTTACTGGTAAAAAATATAGGAAAATTAAGTGAACTTCCTAGAAAAAATAACATAAAATTAATTACCTTAATAATTATGTCCTAATATTTAGTTCTAAGCTTTATCACTATGACCTAACTAAAGTGATGCAGAGTCTAAGCAGACTAGATAATAATTACACTTGTGAAAATCATGATCTCAAGTCCAAGCCAGGTTAAGACTCCTCTATATAAAGAAATGACAGTCCAAAAATCATACCCTTTGTTAATTTAAAAAAAAAAGGTACCTGAATCATATTTAAATTACTTCTAGAATCATTCAGAAAATTTTTCCCTAAGAAATAGTCAAGGAAACTGTCTTAATCTCCCAATATGCCTTAATCCCCTCTATTGGAGACTAGTTAACCAAGTACATATAGGGTGAAAATGCTGTAGTATAATGGATATTGTAAGATTTTCTGCAAACTAACAAGACTCTGGAGTAACCCAGACAAACATAATGTTCATTTTGTATGACTTCATATTTTTGCATTTTTTTCATTAAAATATATTCCAACTTCTCCCCTTTTCAAATTAACAAATTGCTTAAAATTAAGATTAGACGTCTTAAATATCTTAAATCCTAATATATTTCCCTTATAGTATGTAAATTGGCTTTATCTTAGGTTGAAGAAATGATAAGAATTTCATGATTGGGCACTGCTATTTTGAGAATTACTAGAGCAAAGCTAGTTTAAAATAGTTCCCTAATCAGATAGCCTTTCACAAACAATAAAGTTTTTGCCATGATCAGCAAATATTAACCAATGGCTATTAATGCCTTTGGCTTTCTTGTCTTTAAAAGCATTCCTTAGTGATCACAACCACAGGCTTAGATAAATAGAGAATTTGAAGAGAGGTAATGACATATGAAACTTATCCAGAGAGTACTGAAGGCTTCTTATGTTAAAAATGTCCTGCTTTCATAATGTTTCAAACTATTACCTGTCTTTGGATGCTTTTATTACATATGTTTCAAATGCTTTAAAATTAAATATTCCATAACTTTATTAAAATATGGGCAATTTAGTAACTCAACTAAAGATATTTCTAAAGATATTTCTCCAAAGAGGACATAGAGATGGCCAACAGGTATACAAAAGTACCCTCAATATCATGAGGGAAATGCAGATAAAAACCATAATGAGATATCACCTCACAGCTCTTTGAATGGCTCTTACCAAAACCAAAACAAAGTGTTAGTGAGGATGTGGTGGAGGAACTGGAACCCTTGTACACTGTTGGTAGAAATGCGAAATGGTGTAGCTGCTGTAGAGAACACTATGGAGATTCTACAAATAATTAAAACTAGAACTACCATATGATGTACCAATCCCACTTCTGGGTATTAACCAAAAGAACTAAGAATCTCAAAGAGATAGCTGCACTCCCATGTTTACTGCACTATTATTCACAAAACAGCCAAGATATGAAAAGAATCTAAATGTCCATCAGAGAAATGTGGCATATACATATAACGAAATGTTATTCACCCTTAAAAAAAAAGAAGAAAATCCTGCCATAAATAACAACTTGGATGAACCTGGGGAACATTACACTAAGTGAAATAAGCAAGTCATAGAAAGACAAATACCGCATAATTATGAAGCATCTAAAATGTCAAACTCATAGAAACAAAAGAGTGAATTGTGGTTGCCAGGGACTGACAGTGGGAGAAGTGGGGAGTTGCTGCTCAATGTGTATAAAGTTTCCATTACATAAGATGAATAAGTTCTAAAGATATGTGGTACAAAATTATAGCTATAGTTAATAATACTGTATTATACACTTAAAAATTTGTGAGCAGGTAGATCTCATGTGAAAAGTGCTTATACCAAAAATATCATAATGTTAAAACTTAAAATAAATTACAGTGATTTTGTAATTTGAAATTATTTGAATGGGACTGAAGAAATTTTTTTAAGTCTCAATACAAAAACTTTAATAATTTATTTTGTCATCAATGGCCCTATGGTCCCCATGTTCATAATGAGGCCTATAATCAAATGTTATCTTTCGATATGCAAATGAAAAACCATATAGCCACTGGTTTTAAATCTGATGGATTAATTTGAGTGCTTAAATTATCACTGCTAATTGACCAAATAATGAAACATCTTAAAATACTGTCTGTAGAAAGATAATGATGTGTAATAAAGACATTTGTATTATTATTAAATGTGCTAACAGCAAGATACTAATTACATAAGATAAAATGCCTGTTAAGTATTCTTATATTTCCTTTAACATATGGATTTTTATCTGTAATTATTCTATAAATTTATTCCTTTACAGTTGAGGGGTGCTCATTGGCATAAATAAACATGGCTATAATCTATTCCTGATCTAATTTAGGCAATGTTCATAAATCCCCTATTAATTTCTGTTATCTCAGTGGGTACAGACAACATGTGACAAAATATTTGTAAGATGTAGCAAATATTAAGATATTATAAATGGGTAACATTGAATGATTTACATAATGATAACTACTATATATCATAACAAACTTTTAATAACTACTTTGTCTCAAAATGCAATGAGAAAGATTGATTCATAAAGTCAGCATCAATACTATTAATTCATTCATTTATCCAGCAAATACTTGTTGAAGACCTACTATGTGTAAGCCTAGGCACAAGCATATAGACTTAAATGTCTACTCATTTTTTTAAAAAACATGGTCATATATAAACTACTAATTAGGCAAGTATCTCCAAAAGATATCTAACATTTATAATTTTCTTTATCCATAATAATATAGTTTGAATGAATATATGCATATCACTCAGCAAATTCTTTTTGTTATTGGGATTAGTTTCATATTAACAAATCCTGTATCTTAAATCAGCATCAACTGATGTATTACATCATATTAGAAGGAATATGTGGAGAAGCAAAAATATGACACTTCCCAGTAAGTATACTGCATACAAAACTAGGATAAATAAAGCCAGTAACAGTAGTGATAAAAAAATCACCTAAAAATATTTATGTAACTTTATTCATACGTATGTGTATATCAAGCAAGTAACCGCCCAACTTATTGTAGATATATATTGATATAAAAACTGTGATCACCCCACATAAATACATATTTTTCCATTTGTATACATTCCAGAAGTGATTCTAACTATACAGAAATAATTTTTTATGTATTAGTTGAAATACGTGTTAAACTTCAATAAATAATTGCATGTTAAAATGAGTGCAAATATGAAAATGGCAGGCAGGGAAAATCTACTATGATTTTTGTGCAATAGCTGCAATAAATTTATATTATATATATATAACTTTTATACAAATATATATATATATATCACATATAAGGGGAAAGTATGATAATAAGAACTACAACAATAACAGTGATAGTAGTACTAAAGTACTAACCATAACAATCATCACAATCACCACCAAAATCAACTTTTATTAAATACCTCCTGTCATCTTATATAATAGGTATTACCATTGTCATCTTATAAAGGAGGAAGCTACAAAAGAGAAAATTTGAGTCATTTGCCCAAGATCATACAGCAAGTAATAAAAAGATGCTCAACCTCACCTGTCATCAGGGAAATGCAAATGAAAACAACCAATGACAACTTCACAGTCATCAAATTGAAGTAACAGAAGTCTTATAATACCAAGTATGGATGAGGAGGCAAAAAAATAAGAATTTGTGCCAACAGTGGTAGTAAAAAT